TAAAAGTTCCGGTGTAACAGTGCCAAGCACTACCACCCGAGCCAAACCTAGACACTTTAACCCTTGGATTGTGAGATGTCTTGAGAGACGACATTTTCATGAGCTCCCTCCCTTCTCCCACCCACCCAACACCAACATAAAGGGAAGCAACACATCTCAATGCGTTGGCATTTGCACAGCTTCTGCACCCAGAAAGGTTTTGGAATTAAATACAAGTGCTCCCTTCCCAGCATCGTATTGGCAGATTGCTCCCAATTGGTTTAATGACCCAGTTGGCGTGAATTGCAATTTTGGCTTAATTTCTCAGACTTTTCGGACAAATCCTGCACCTCCTGCTTTCGCCCATGTTTCTCCTCACCTTTCCTCTGTTGAAGACGCTATCCTTTTGCTGAAGTAAACATCCATGAGGAAACTGACTGCCCTTTCCCAACATCGCTCAGGTCGGTGCCCAATATTCGTCCTCTTGGCTTGACAATCAGAGGGTTTGCCTCTCCACACAGTAAGCCCTCTTGAGTCACCCTCGGGTGGGACTTGAAGCAGGTTGACAGTGGAGGTGGACCTGCTCCTGAACCCAAAGCAGGAGGAGGAAGGAGAAGATGCTCGGAGGGCAAGACCCTTCAGGCTACTCCGTCTCCGCCAGCAGAGGGCGATGGAGTTGTATTGGCAGGAGCCTCAGAGAGAGTAGAGTGTGCCTGGCTACCCGCCCAGCCAGAGAATGGCACAGAGTAGCGGGGCATTCCACCGAGCAGAAAGTAAACCTTAAAGGAACCTTAAAGTGCCTGTGAAGGAATTCTTGGCAGGCCACTTGTATTCATCTACAAATCCGCTGCGCCGTGGTTTAATCTGAATCGAATAGGTGTCCGTCACAACACCTGCCTGCGCTTGACGTGACGTGTGTTGCAAATCGGGCAGCGGGATCCACCAACCCCTCCCCGTCACGCCCCACCTCTAACCCCCCCCTCACCCCGCACCTTCCCCCTCTCCCCCATCCCGCCCCAGAGAAAAAAAAGTTTTGTTATCCATTTTTTTCAGAGTGTCTTTTTCTAAACGTAGCAGGGTACGATTCCTTCCAAGACAAATACCGTGTTGAAGCACGCAATAGAATTATTACTGACAATAGCGATAAGATACCCCGTCTCCCCGTTCAGGTGGACGTTAAAGATCCCGTGGTGCAATTCGAAGAGAGAAGAGGGAGTTTCTCTCCTGTTGTCCTGGTCAACAATCCCCCTACCAACATGGGTCACTCACTTTGTGGCTGTTTTGTGAGACATTGCTGTGTGCAAATTGGCTGCTGTGTTCGTTTACAAAATAAAGGGTGGGGGGGGTTACAGTAAATCCTGTGAAACGTTTTGAGGCGTCCTCCCAACTTACAAGGCGCTAAATGAAACGCAAGGGATCTCATTATTATTATTATTATTATTATTATATTTGCCTGGTATAGTGTTGGGTTGGAGGCTTCTGCATTGACAAGCAAACTCTTGACTGGCAACATAAATGACATGTCGTAACTTATGAATCTGGGGACTCAGGTGTCTGTTTATGGGAGACTGTGTTTTTACATCCAACTTTATCCATCGAGTGCCATCTCAGTGCCTCCTGTGTTCATGTGGAAACCCAGAGCACTGTATGCCCACGGGAACCCAGCCAAATGGGGTCTACTCTCATGCTCTTCGGGAAAAGTGAGTGGAATTGATGCTTGAGAGCCTTATCTGGGATGCTTTCAGTCCTCATCCAAAGACCTTGGGCAGTAATGCATATGGAATAATCCTGTGAGGCATTTTTAGACATCACAACGACGTGAGAAAGTGCTCTATTAAATACAAAGATAATTATTATTATTATTAGAAGTTTGAGGGGGAGAGGAACACGGAATAGGTTTTTGAAAATTATGTTGATACATCAAAGTGTAGAGCGTGTGGTGTAACAAAGCCACAGCTCCCAGTTTGAAGTACTTGCATCTGAATATTCTTCAGATCGCTTATAACCCAGGTAGAAAAACATACCCGGACACAACCTGCCCTCCCTGGCTCCTTCCTCTCCTCTCCTCTCCTCGAATGAACGGTTTCAGTAAAGGAGGGCGTTTTTTCATTCACCGCATCTCAGTGACCGCGTGAGAGTACCAGGAGGAGAGACTCCATGTAGTTGACGGGTACACTTTTGCAGTGAACCCTGTGAAGCGTCTTGAGACGGCGATTGTGTGTGTGTGTGTGTGTGCGTGTGTGTGCGTGGGACAGACTTCCTCCCGATGTGAAAGGCCACCGGTTGAATCAAACGCGAGGGTTTTCACTGAATGTTGCACGGGATTATTACAATTTGCAGTGAAAACAAATGCCGGGTTCCCCCTCAAGCCACGCACGATTCTGAGCTGCAGATGGCAGTGGTTCATGCAGTTACTCACACCTTACCCGCTCACTCCCCTGTCCCAGAGCCTCAACGCTCACTGCCTGTCCCAGAACCTAAGCAGGCCTCCCGAAATGTCAAAGAGCAACTCGAGTTTCCCAGCCGCGTTGGAGGAGACAAAAGGCAAATAAATAGTGCAGTTAGAAGGAGCGGCGATACAGCCGCTCGTGGCACACGGACAGTGTCTGGGATCAGATTCTCTGCCGCCACGTGAGAAGATTGCTTCTGAAAGGCAGCCCTTACGAGGTCCCCTTTGAAGGTTAGGCTAGTGTAAATGTGCACCTTTGGCCTCGCTGCACAATATTTTCTTTCAGCTCAGTCAGATACACGCGCAGCTCAGTGGCTCCCTTATCACCTTGGATTCGCAGAACGATACCTTGCAAAATATAAGCTCACGGCATCCTCCCTCTTATGTTATCTCTTTGCCCTCTCTCAATCACTTTGCCTTTTTGTTTATCCCCCCCCCCACACACACAGGCTCTCCCTCCCCTCCCATCACCCCCACCTCGGTCCTGTCTGTGGATGTAATCAGAGCTCAAAGCAAGCACTACCCACTGCAAGGATTCAGGAATGGCTTTTTGTTTGAAAAGAGGAGGGAAGAGCTTAAGTTTTCACAGCGTAACTTCGAAGCAAAACCTGTCCCGAGGGCTACACAGGCAACTCCTGTCAAGTGTAGTGACTGTGTGGCCCCAGCAAGGCCCGTAAACAGCCAGATGGTGAATAGGTCAGTTGATTCTGGGGGATTGTCAGTCAGGAGAAAGTCCCTTCCCCATTCCTGAACAGTGTTGTGGGATCTTTAGCATCTTCTTAAATGAGATACACATACAATGCATACACACCCACACACATGAACAAGTACACATGTAAGCACACACAATACATTAATACTCTTTGAACGTATACAGCCCCTTTCACATCAGGGGGGACGTCTCACAGCGCTTGATGAACTAGGCTGGGCTCCCGAGCTGGGAGTGTGAGGCGAGCTTGGGGTGGAGTGGGAAGACGAAAGATGACGGGGCCTTGAATGGGGGAGAGGGTGGGGGGGGGGAATCATATTTATATAATATATACAAATATACACATGTACATGCGCACGTACACCCCGCACGCACATCCATGCACATACTCGCACACCCTCACACAGCCTCAAATATATAAACACACACACACTCTCTCTCTGGCTCCAGTCCTGTTTTGCAGACCGTTCAAAGGAGGACGTGTCAAGGGAATGCTTATACTTACAGAATCGCCGTTCTTTTAACACTATTGAACTGCACGATATTTGTGTCGCAGACTGAAGCCAGGGTAACCTGAGCCGCACTGAGCACACACAGCTCCGAGATTTTGAGGTTTCCCAGCAAACATTTTTCTTAAATGCTGCAGTTCCCTCATTAAGCCCCATCTGCAACTGCAAACCCTTCAGAGGTCCACAAAGGGTCCCGACTGTCTGTCTGCTACCCAGATGTCGCAGAAAATGTACCAAAGTGTTTGAATAAGTTCATTCTCTCACACACACTTACTCCCCTAGTTTCTCCCCCCCGCCCCACCCTCCCCAAAGCTGGGTTTATAAGCAGTGTATGTTTCTCTGTGTTGCGGTGTGAGTGGGGAGGATATAGTTGGAAGGAGACAGATTCAGAGGTGCCTGTATCATAGCAAAGCAATATGTAGAACAATATGCAGCTCAGACACAAATGACTGTGCCAGACACCGAGAAAGTCTCCTGATCTTAGCCTTGATGGCAATTACCTGCGCACAGTCACACTGGGCAAACACCCAGTCACTACATTTGACAGCAAATACACACCACACACACACACAGCCACAGCCAGTGTTCCGGTTAGCTCTCGTTTAAAGTGAAGGTCTTTCCCAGCTCTCTCCACTTAGACAACACGGTTGGTTTCCATTTGTTTTTGACCCCCCGTCTGACTCGAAGGCGAGTTTCCCAACACAACGATGTAATCAGTGCACAAACGACAACAAAGAGGTGGGGGGTTGCAGTGGGGGGGGTGGGGAATGGCGGTGCGGGGTGGTGGAGGGTGGAGGCTGCAGTAGCCAACAGTGTGACGTGTTGTCCGCGCACCGCAAAAGACACCCGAAGAGGCAGACCACACGCAGGGCTACATTTAAAGCAGGAGGCGGCAGTAAAATAGACCGAATGCACTTCATGTCTCTTACACCGCATTAAGGAGAAAAGGCTGAAACTAACTGAATGACTGGAACATATCTCGCCTTTTAACACAATGCAACCAGCAGTCAAGCGAGAAATGTCACGCCTCTGGGAATGTTTTAACGCTCGTGCGTACACGTGTCTGCGTGTGCGTGCGCGCGCGTGTGTGTTTGTGCACGTGTGTTTCTGTGAGTTGTCGTATGTTTGTGCAGGTGCTTGGGTTTCGTGCGTGTTTGCGTGCGCACAAAATCCTCTCTACGATTCGCTCAGAAGAAGAAAAAAATATAGAAACGGGGAGAAACGTTACTCCCCGTCCCAATGAGAACAGCCCGCGGAAATGTCAGTATTGTGTTCAGTGTAATATTGAACCTGCCCGTTGCTATGTTAATCTTTGGACTCTTTCTCACTCTGTGTGTGGCTTTCTTTGTACCAGGAGAATCTCTGAGCTTCGCAGACGACCTTCTTTCAGGCCTGGGGTCTTCCTGCGTGGTCGTGGGCAAGAACTACGGGGATTCCTCAGAAATCACCGTGTATTCCTTAATTTTCAAGTGCTTGGAGCCGGATAGCTTCTACAGGTGAGCGCGTCGAAAGCAATCGCACGAGCCGGTGAGTTTCGGGCACGCGCACGCACGCACAGACGAGAATTTTCACCCAAAGTTTGTGGTCACCATGTCAGTGGGTTGGAAAATGTCGGCTCACGATTTGGCGAAATGTTGTCGTAGCGGATTTCAGGGAAAATATTAGGAGAGTGTGAACTTGAGACACACCACAGCATTTTCCTACACAACCGACTTCCCCTTCCCGTTTACGTCCGTATCTAAACTCTTCGCAGGAAAGGTGCTTTGTGGCCGGTTTGCTTCTCTCGAACCCCTAATGTTTGCCAAGCTCACTTTTTAACGCCTTGATGAGATGCTGTTGATGTTCTGTGGCGAAGCCGCAGGGAAATGTTTAGACTTTGTGCCCGTTGTTTTCCCCTTTTCTCTCTCTCTCGCTCTCTCTCTCCGCTCTCCTAAGTTGCTCGGATTGGATTGGATTGGATTGGAATACAGGACTGCTTGGTGCCATTGTGGCATGAGATGGGTTGTGCTTGAGAGACATGGGTGTTGTTGGGTGCCTTTTACCCGCAGCACCTACTCAGTAAGAGAAGGCAATTTCTCCCCAGTGTCCTGGCTGATATCTCCCCCCCCCCCCCACAGATAAAATTGATCATTCACTTCACGACTGTTTGTGGGAATGTTGCTTTGCGCAAATTGCCTGTCGCGTTTGCCTACCAATACACAGTCACTGCACTCAACAAACAGCAAATCACGTAAAGCGATCACGAGACATTTCTACGATGTAATCAGGTCCACTATCAAACGCAAGGATTGTTATTGTTATTAATAATATAATTAACGCCCTTGTGTTTCACGATGGGATAGGATTTTAGTAAGCGACAAAAACGAAATCCTATCCATTGACTTCAGTTCAGTTTCTGCTTGTTTTTGTTTTGTTTTTGCTTTGCCAGTGGGATTTCTACAGTGTCAGGCATTTCAGAGCAGAATTGATTGCGTGCAGCGTGATTTATTGTGCCGTGTATAGCGGGGCACCACATATCTTGTGTGCATTATACACAGAATAATAGCTACCTGGTAGGAAATTGCACAACAGTAATCTGATCACAGGTCAGAGCACACACCACAGACGGCAATAGCAAAAAAAAAAAGCCTGGGCAGTTTATCAATGTCATCTGAACCCTGGGATCAGATTCCTGCCTTTAATTACCTCCAGGTATTTGTTTTTTTTTAATACTTTTCGATTTTGATAAAGTATAATATTAAAATACTTCACCTTCCCACTGGGGCTTTGGAGCTGCCTCTATCCGTCTGTGTTTAGCGTGCAAACTGCTGACATTAAGATTAATAGTCGTCGGCTGATATTATGCATTTCTCGTTGTAACACAAGTCCTATGGTGAGTCTTAAACAATGCAATGGGGCTCCTTTGGTGCAGGAGGGTTTTCATTGATCATCGACGCCTGATGCAGGTCATCGACTGGTGTGAGGAGATACCATCCTTCGAAGGAAAAGTTAAACCATCTTGGGACCTTGTTAAGGTGGATGTTCAAGGTCCCATACCAATGTTCGAAAAAGAGGAAAAAGTTTCTCCTGGGTCCTGGCCAACAATCCCCCAAATAAAATTGGTCGTTTGCTGCATTGGCTGTTTTTTGTGGCACATTGCAATGCTCAAAAAAATTGGCTGCTGCATTCACCTACGAAATACTCAGTCACGAAACTTTAGTGTTTAGAGAATGAATCGAGAATGTATATGGTATATACACAAGCACTTTGAGACATCCTCCTGACGTTAAAGACACTCTTTCAAACTTAAGGATTATTTATTGTTATTAATGAATCAATCAGTTGTTGTTGATCATTTATCACCTCAAATCATTTTGACAAAATATTGTGATTTTCACCTCAACACTGTAGGATCAGTATGAACGATAAATGCAAGTTGTTGTTGTTGGACGCAGTTTGATGAGCAGTTGACAGGATCTCTTCGATATGATATGAACTCCCGTTGTGAAGACAGAGCGAAAAAAAAATAGCGTTATGTATAGCCGTTGGAGTAATATCAGCCCACTAAGTATGAACAGGCAATTTGATATTCCAACCTGTATTTCTCTGCTGCAGTAAATGCCAACATCTCATCCCTTGTCAAAAGCTTTCAAGAGGATTAATTATCACATGGAGCACCTTGTTGAAATGCCTTAAATTTCACTGCAGTGCGAGGGTGCTTCACTCACAAGTAGCTGACGCTGTACGCTAGCATTTGGCCCTTCCTCCCGAGACGCCTGCCTAGGTGTGAAAGCCTACAACCTTCCGGTTTAAGTCAAGTCAACTCATTCGTAAATTCAGCGAAGCAGCCTTTCTTTCTCTCGCATCCAAGTCTCGTCTCTTTCTCGGTCATTGCAATTCAACTCAACCTTATTGGAAGGGTTTGCAAAGACCACAGTAAAGGACGATTGTTTTCCTTTTGGATTGTCCTGCAAAGAAGAGAGAGGGGAGGGAGGGTGGAGGTTGGGAAACCCAGTGGGAGGAGGGCGCGGAGTGGACTCTGGAAAGTAAGTACGTTTCCCAAAAGGTAACTTTAAGGTGAAATAATTTTTTTTTAAAAAAAACCCTAAAAAATAAGTGTAGCTTGCTCTAAGAAAAAAAACAGTTCGAAGTAGCCAGTTTGTGCAGGAGAAACTCACGACACAATCAGACCACTCACTCACACCGTTACCCAAGGGCTGTCTTGCCTCACGGCTAATTGGAGTGGACCAAACTACATTTTCTAGATGCTGGGAAATGGAGAGAATGATACTTACACAGCACAGACAAAGCACAATATGCTGCAATGTCAGAATTAGCTTGAAATCACCTGGTCACTGGAATTCTACGTGTCAGCAAAGGACAGGAGGAAAAAATAAATGATTTGCTCCCCTCACTTGACATGACACTTCACATGAGGGGAGGATGTCTCAAAGCGCTTCGCAAGATTTACTGTGAAGTGGACTAACTGTGCAATTTTTGCACAGCGTTGTCCAGCAAACAGCTATAAAGCGATCAGTTTAATCAGGTGTGGGGAGGGGAGATGTGGGGGGTTGAGGGTTGGGGAGGGGGAGTTGTTGATCAGGACTTCAAGAGAAAGTCCCTTCTCTTTTCGAGTTGTGCCGCAGGATCTTTCACTTCCTCCAGCACCAGGTGAGTTCAAAGTCCCGACATGTGTGGGGCTTGAACCCACAACCTTCTGACTCAGAGGCAAATGTATGTACTTATGTGTGCGTGTGTGTGTCTGAATGAATGATGTCAGCCCCACTAGCCGAGCCAGGCTGAGACGAAACAACGACTTAAAAAAAAATTATTTACTGAGGATGTCCAACAGACGACTAGGAATCTCGGAGGCAAAGCCGCTGGACCGAGCGTGTTTCTGGACGCAATATTCGGACGAAACAAACTCGCTTTTATTGAGGCCGCTGTGGCAAAAGTGATTGCAACCGTCGTTTTTTTTTTTTGCGAGATGATCGCCTGCCAGTTACCAATAGCAATTAGAAGCTGCTGCTGGAAGTTCACAGTTTGAGACTTTCTTGGAAAATCTCTCTCTGACGCACACGTTCGAAAACTGTTACCTAGGATCGGGCAGGCTTGTCATCTCGGGTTAAATAAACTGGGCTTGAACGGAAATGGAATTCGCAGGCGCGTGCATTCGTAAGAAATTGGGTGCAGCCCCGTGGGAGTTTGTGGTAATTTGGGCACAGCCAGTCTTCCCCCCCCCCCTCCCCTCTGTATGACTAACAGAGAAAATACAATCAAGTTATTCAGCGCACTTTTAAAGTGGTGTTAATTCCACTCTGAATTGTCTGTGGTCGATTCCACACAGTGAGCGGTCGGCAAACAGACCACAGCAAGTTAGGAAAGGCAGAAGTTGACAAATCATTCGGGCGGCCGTTTTTTTTTTGTTTTGTTTTTTGGTGACTTATTTGAGAGTAATTGCGACCGTTCGATGTTCTTATGTCATTTTTGAAGCCACGTTTCAAACCAGATGTTGACCCTCGAGGGAGCCGAGACCAATATGCTTTAACGTCGCGGCTTTTCCTTTGAAAACTTGACGCGGGATGTGTTTGAGTGGCTGGACAAAGCGCCAGGGAAGCCGTGATGATGGGTGCTTCTTCCCCCGCGTGCAATGCTTCCCTCCGAACGGGTCAGTGGCCTGGAGGAGAAATTAAGATAAATAATTAACCTAATCTTGGAAGATTTTACAGAAGGATTTGCCAGGGTAGTTATCGCTTTATCGCCCCAGTCTAACCAGTCCATGCCTGTGTTCGAAGTGGTTCCTCCTATTTTGGCACATCTCACGCAAACATAACCGACAGAGAAACGCTGGCAGACTCAGTCTCGAAGGTTATTAAGCGCTCAGCTCCCGCTGTCTCAGCGGTAAATTCAGATCTCAGACGTGAAAGCTGCTCGTTCGATCAATTGCTGCGTTTGTCTGACTTTATCAAATGCTCACTGCGCAATGACAGGAGCTTCAAAAAGATACGGTGGATTCATTGGCACATCTCTCAGTGTTTACAGCAGCTGTGCGAGACCCAAGCAGTGTGAAGGAAAGGCGATAAAGAAACATTGGCATCGTTAATGCTTTTCCTTATCTCAGAAATACCTTTGGCGATGGTGCCCTGTCACTTTTTACTATTTTCGGCAGAGTGTAGGCTGGCTCGGTCGGTCCAGAAGTTTGTGGGTTCAAGCCCTAGTCTAAACTGACCGATGCAGCGCTGTGGGTATGCCCTGCATTGTCGGAGGTGCCGACATTCATATGAGATGTTAAAACAAGGTCCCATCTGCCTGTTCGGATTGACATTAAAGATTGCATGGTGCTACTTCCAAAAAAAAGAAGGAAGTTTCTCAGGGTATCCTGACTAACATTCCCCCAAATAAAATCAGCATTCGTGTCACGGTTTGCGGGACATTGCTGTGTGCAAATTAGCCCGAGTTTTACCTGGAAAAATACGAAGTCACTGCACTTCACGGGATAGCCTGCAAAGGGCTTTGG